AGAAAAAGCGTGGAAAGTGGACCGAGTTCAAATCTGTTACGTTACCTTTCGCACAAATGCGGTCAGTAAATCCATGAATACATATCTTCTCTCTCCAGCTATGGGTTAAAAAGCAGGGAAGACTGGAACGTCATTAGCTTTGGATGGTTTACGAGAATGATTACTTTATATTTGAAATCTTGGAGGAAGCAACGTGAAGGAATCTGCTCTTATTTCCTAAAGATCTATTACAATTCAGAAAGAATATAGAAACGGAATGTGTGGAGAGGCACGATCGCCTACATTCTGAATGAATATGGCATTAAAAAAGCACAAGTTAATTTTAAATGTAGTTGGTGTTTGGCTAATTACGTTTTAGGTCCTTTTATTTAGCAATTTGCAACCAATTATTATTTAAATTTTAAAAGAGGAAATGGCTTGACAACGAACTTCATCACAGAATTTGGCAATATTTAAGTGAAAATATCTTTCGTTTTTTTTCTGTTTCTTGATTATGTGATAAAAGTTGGCAGGAAAATTCTCAAACTTAAAATAGAATTATTCAGAGAAGCAATATTTTGTTTCCTAAAAGTTTTGGCAAAAAGCCCGACCTTACATAAATATATACCAACTCACCGGAGATGAATGTATGCATTATGGGAAGGACAATGGATGAGATAGAATATTATATCCCCATTCCTCGTTCAAATAAAGAATTTTTGGAAAGTCAAAGAAAGCGACAAATAGCAGAGAAAAATCAGAGGACAGTGGCTGAAATATTGTAAGAAAACCAATAACACAAACGAGAAATATCGAACTGCAATAATAAATACTGTCGAAATATCTTCTCAAAGAGAAAGAAAGCAGCAGAACTTATCCACAAAAGCTCCGTGATTTACAAAGTAAACAGTTGGAAACTGTTTCGAATGAATCAATATATAATAGTAAAAATACTTCATTTACATTATTCGGATTATTGTCCTCATCTTCGTCATTTCGGCCTTCTTCAGGTGGTTGAACTGATCCGTTTATTTCGCTCACTGGGGTAAACTGTTCTAGTTTCACGCGCCATGTTTAATGGATGTCAGTTATCAGTTATCTCCTGTTAATTTCCCTCTGAAAGTTCTCCACTGCCTTAACCGGGTATTGAACTCACACATGTTGGTTCCTGTCACTAGATATAACTAACGCATTTATCCACTGTGCCTGAGGACATCTGGGTATGAATTTCTAGGTACTATAAACCTAATGTCTTCAGTAACTATTTTTTTACGAATGCTAATATATCAATTTTTTGCTGTTATCATTGCATGTTTTTTTATACCAAAACTCATATTGCAATTTTCCTTGTTATTATTGCTTTTCTCTGGCATTCCTTATTACTGGTTCCCATATTGTATTCATTTCTATGCTTGGTCGGCTCAGGAGATTTTTGTGGCCTAACATATGTGCTGATTCCTTAAGTTAAGAATTTTCCAATGGTGTTCTTTGTCTATGATCTCAACTTGATCCCACAGAGGGCGGTGATCTCCCTTCTTCTCTCTCCGCCGAAACGTAATAAATATGGTGTAAAGATGAGGACAATAGTCCGAATAATGTAAACAATGTACATAATACCGAATCTCAGAAATACAGACAGATACTAAAAATGTTTTGTCTAGGAAAAGAAAGCTGCTGGTTGCAACGGCCGAAACATTGTGATAAAAATTACGAGACAGAATCTGATAAAAAAAGTAATATCTACAAAACTATCAATACTTTGTTTCAGGAGTAAAAGCTACAAATCGTAACAATCAAATCGTGTGATGGAGCCAACAAAGATATTGAAATTGGTCCGAAAGAGTTAATATACGAAGTCCTCGTCTTAGAAATTCAAACAGGAAGACCTGAAGTTCTGCATCGTGGTTCTCCTTACTATAACGTTACGCAAGAACCGAAACCTATATTATTTCTATAGACTTGGTCTTATATTTCCAACATGGGAAACCTAAACATTCTTGAGTCAAACAGTTTCCAAATAGCCAGTTATTGACTAAAATCGTAAACTTCCATCAAAAATGAATTTTCAATGTCAACATTATTCTTTATCCCCTCTTTAAATCAATATTCAAAGCAAGGTTGAATGGTAGATGTATAAATACACCCCTGTGCAAATTAATTAGAACAAAACAAATAATTCCGTTATTTACTTTTTTCATATTTTGTCAATGAAACATCTCCCACTGTGCATGTTAGTACTTCGTATGTCCATTCCACAAAGTAATTCCTTGCTGATTGACCACAGATTCTCGATTACATTTAAATCAAGATAGTTTCCGAGCCAGTCGATAGTACTTTGATTTGCTCACCGGTAAGGATTGTCATTGAGTTCGTGCAACATTACAATTTTTGTATGCTTCCTTGGAGTAATGTCCATCGCAAACAATGGCCGTGGGACAACTTATCGAAAGTCGAGACAATAGTGTCTGAGCGTGATGAAAATCTGATGCAATCACGAATAACGCAATATTTTTCAAGGCCAAACAAATCCCAGCATACACCCGAAAACAGATTAATATAACTGCTCACCACTGCAAATGATATAATCTGAGTAAAAAACAAACAAAAAAAGAAATCGTTTACACCCTGTCTAAAACTGACTGTATGGTGAAAGAAAAGAAACTAAAGCAGTTGTTAATGTGCACAAGGGTGTATATAAGATTCTATCGAAACTGTCTAGTACGACATAGTGAACTAACTTTCTTAATTGCGAACTTAGCAATCTATTTAATATACTCTTTCCACTTCATATCAGCTGAAAACTCAATTATCAGGAATTCGGAATTATCCGAACATATTTTTTTAACCTCTGCGCACGTTGTATCACCCTTGGTGGGGTCGTCTTTAAAGTTGCATTCTTCTCTTACTCGTCTTCTCCCGGCAAAATGTTTTAGAGTTCAACGATAAGAAACAACAAAGGGAATTTTAACTTAGCTAGTTCATTAACATCGACGTTTACATCTCCAAACTAGTCAATGGGTCACTCTTCCCAACTGGCAAGACATTCCAGACTCAAATGAACCATGTCTACATTGTTTGACGGTTTAGATTCGACTTCCCGAAAAATCATTCTATCATTCCCACGTTGGCTCAGCCAATGAAAATCGACTTCCTTTATTTTGTCTTATCTCTAACGTCAACCTCAAGAAGTCCAAGTAGGGATAAACTTCTCTAAAAAATAATAGTCTGCTAACCTATTATTTAACACCCAAATGTATGCGAATAATAGTGGAAATACTGCATTAATTAAATAAAATCCGTTTCTAGAGATACAGAAGGCGATTATCTCCCTTTGAAGGAGATAAGTGATGTCACGACATACAGTGGCGGGAGTGGACTGTCATTCAGTTTGTTTACAGCAAACAAACCAAGCTGTTGTTTTTTTCAGTCTGGGCCAATAGTCACATGGTTGGGGTTAAATCTACCTCGTCCTGCAAATTCTACTTTTCACATGGCGCCATTTCCCTTTGGCAAATATAGAAATAATCTCCGGCTTGCAGTTCTCAATTTAGGAAAACTCAAGACTCGCTGTTTTCCCTTCGTGGAATATGTCACCACCTGGGTCATAATAGATTAATTCAGCCCGTTTCCATCTGGAGTCCTAAACATGGCTTCTCCAGACACAGGTGTATCTCCATATTATATGAAAGACCCTTACGTTTTGTTTCTCCTTAGACGCTTTCCTGTGTAGATATATGGGATATATTATTGTCTTCGTGTAGCTCGTTTATATATTTGTCTTTGTGTATGTCTTAGTTCTCTGAGAACAAAGCATGATTGTCATTCCTTTTCCTTTCAGCAATTTCGTTTCCTCTATGAATTACCGTATTATTATACCACGGATATAGTAATTCTCCTTACAGGGCTAAAACAAATGGATGAATAAACCTTTCTTCCTTAGCAGTCTTTGTTTCAGAAACATAGAGACCTGATTTACGATAAAGATATCAAATCAGCCATTAATCACACTTTGTAGACTGGGTCTATCACATTATACAAGATTAAAGCCTTGCTCTACACATGAAAGAATACCACTTCGGCTTTCAACCCAGATATGTGGCGGGAACTCGTCAGGTTCTCAGCTGTATAGGAACCCAAAGGCCGCACATGGTTAAGGTACTGATTATGAGGAAGTGGTGGTTGATTAATATCCGCAGTCTTTTAGGCGTTGGGTTTGGTCTACCTAGCTTCAAAATCAGCATTTAAAATCCTGAACCTTCTGGCTTAATGATTAAAGTGTATTTAACGGAGCATTAGATTCTTAGTTCCTAGATTGTGTTCTTTGATTACAGTTTTTTCAGGTTATAGTAATGCTTTCTGTCTTTCAAAAAAGAAACATTTTTTTTCAGTCGATAATCTTAAAAGTTGATTGACTCCAGATATTATGGTAAAGTAAAAATGATTAAGAATTGGGTCATTTCTTGGGAGGTAGTGACGAGATTGGGGATTGCACAAAGTTCTCAATTATCCATATTTTGAGTTCAATCTCCGGGTCGGGTAGTGCGTACACAGTTAAAGAAAGACTAGAAAAATTATCAATACTCAACAAGAACAAGACAAGATATCCCTAGACATGGACAGGGAAATGAGTCCAATCTATACGCGTAAATTAATTTAAGGGTACAGTTAGAAATCCCCTTGAATTGAATGAAAATTCCAGGAACAAAAACTCATTATTGATCGTTTGTACTTTCTCATAATCCATACTGTCTGGAGCCTATCATCTTTTAAGATTATCTATTGTAAAAAAATACCTTTTCCTTTTATGAAGACAGAAAAAAATCTCATAAGTGAATAGGATTTCTGCAAGGAAGGTTACCCGAAGAAGGCTAAAACTATCGAAACGTTGTCATAATAACAACAAAGATAAAGAAATTAGTCTGAGTGTAAATAATACAAATATCTACTTTCTTTTCCATCAGTCACATTAGAATGCTGTTACCATATAAGACAATGTGTCAGAGCGAAGGAAAATTGGTTTCATGCCTTTCCTAAAGCTTAGTATCATTATTTTTCTTTTTCTGTCCATATGCCCTATTCCGTTTTTTCTTCTTTCTTTTTTCTTTCATGCTTACTTTCTTTCTTTTTCCTTTCTTCTTTTTTATTTCTTCTTTCTTTCTTGGTTACTTTCTTTTTCTTGCTTTTTTTCTTGCTTACTTTCTTTCTTTCTTTTTTCTTTCTGGTTTACCTTCTTTCTTTTTTCATTCTCCTTTTCTTTCTTTTTTTCTTTCATTCTTTCTTGCGTACTTTCTTTTTTTCTTTCTTTTTTTCTGGCTTTCTTTTTCTTTCTTTCTTTTTTTCTTTCTATTCATGCTTTCTTCTTTCTTCTTTCTTTCTTCTTTCTTCTTTCTTTATCTCTTTCTTTCTGTCTTTATTTTTCTTTTTTTCTTTCATTCTTTCTCGCATACTTTCTTTTTTCTTTCTTTCTTTTTCTTTCTTTTTTTTTCTTTCTTTCTGGTTTTCTTTTTCTTTCTTTCTTTCTTTCTGTTCATGCTTTCTTTCTTTCTTCTTTCTTTCTTTTTTACTTTTATCTTCCTTTCTCTTTCTTTCTTCCTTTATTTCTTTTTTCTTTCATTCTATTTTCTTTCTTGCGTAATTTAATTTCACTTTCTTTCTTGTTTCTTTCTTTTTTTTTTTTCTTTCATTTTCGTGCTTACTTTCTTTTTCTTACTTTCTTTTTTTCTTTCTTTCTTTCTTTCTTTCTTTCTTATTACTTCTTTTTTCTTTCTGGCTTATTTCTTTCTTTTGATTTCATTTCATTTTCCTTCTTTTTTCTTTCTTTCATTTTCTTCTTTTCTTTCTTTTTATTTCATTCTGTTTTCTTGCCTAATTTTTTTTCTTTCTTCTTTCGTTCTTTCTTTTTCCTTTCTTTCTTTTTTCTTTCTTGCTTACTTTCTTTTGTCTTTTTATTCTTTCTTTCTCTAAATATTCAGATATCATCGTCCATTAAATGTAACTTTGTGATTTTACGCTTTTCTCTTGTAAATGTTTTTTTAAGACGATATTCTTTCTTTCATAATTTTCTTTCACCCTGTGTCCACATAAAATAAAAATAGTGAATCGAGGGCATTTTTTAAAACTGTTAGATTGATGCAAGAACTGAAAGAAAATTGCCAGCTAAGATTAAGTTTGGTATGCTATTCTGGATACTTTACAATATGTTTTCCCAACATACATACAACAACCCACAAAATTAATATATATACTACAGTACCTTCTCATTTAAGGAGTGGTTCCGTTCCAACGATCTGGTTGGTGACAAATTGTAACAGACCGCTAACCTTTAGCGTTCATGCGTTTGTGTCATCCTGCACTAAATAACTGTCATGTACCTTTTATACTACTTAATTCTAAATGTTTATACAGTGTTTGCAATAATTAAATTAGAAAATCTGCTCTAAATTATGTACATTACTTTGATTTGCATAATTTAAATTCAGCATAAGTAAACTTTAATTTAATTGTCACTTTATTCTTTTTGATTCATTTTGAATAAACAGCAAACAATAACAATGGAAGTTTTCATAAATTTACAATACCGATTGATTAGATATTTTTTACGAAATCTTATAGATAGACGTCAAACAGGTGAGTCGTTAAGTGAGAAACGGTTGTACTTCTAAAACTAGTTTCAGAAGATGAGATATATATTTCACATTAAGATTGTCTTTGTCGTCATGACAATGACACTGTTTTCCATTCTTGTTCAAAATATTGGTTTTCGAATATTTATGATATGTTCTATAATTACAAGTTTTAATTCCAACTTTCATTAGTATTCTAAACGCTTTTGACAATGGTGTTGTTTGAATAGTTTTCATTTCTCCTTGATTATTTTAGTTCTTCCAGGTTAAAGGCCCTCGGCATCGTTCCAAACGCTCCGGTGTTCTCACGTAGCTTATTACCTTCAGACTTCACAGTTATGATTATCTCTGGCATGATATTTATTCACTGTCTATTTTCACTTTCACTTTCACCCGTCTGCTACTTGGAACAACAGCATCGACAGATTTTATCTATGTTTACCGACTTCATTATATGTTTTCCTAGCCTCGCTTGAGTGATTCTTTTTAATTTCAAAATTTTCAAGAAACTAGTCAGTACTCCCGAACACCTTCCGACTTTTGTTTATACTATTTGGACTAGTCGATTGCACAATGACTCATCAATCATACCTCGCTATATCTATGTTTGTATTCTTTCTGGGCTATTCTGTTACGTTCATTATAAGAGTTATAGTTTCATCTCTTTTTACTATATACGTTATGTTTACTGGAAGCATGTGTTTGAATAAACATATCTGTTTTTAAGCAGTATAATATTTGTCTACCGGTCCGTGATTTTCGGGAATCTTTAATAAAGTGAATGTAGAGTTCAAATCCATCCCTCCCCTGATGTAGATAAAACCACCGTATAGTCTGACGTGCTTTTAGACCGCCGAGCTACGAAGAACTCCACAGCAACGCAAGAATCACTATTTTGAAGAAAATACGTCTCTCGTTAAGATCTTTTAAGGCCCATATCTGCTAATTTTAATTTCTTATCCAAAACGTAAACAAAAGTAATTTATAAAATATCATGGATTTTTATTCATAATCTTGTATTTTTCTTATTATTTGTAAGCATTATCAGTCATAATAGTTGCTGAGATTTCCGACCATGAAACTTGGGTTCGAATCTCATCTGGTTGATTTATCAGGGAGGTGACTTCCTGATGTTATTGTGTGGCACCTTTGGAATGTGCCTGAAAAAAAAAACATACCACGGATTGACCTATGATTTATGAATGAAATTGGTTAGAAGGGATTAGTTGGGAGCCGTAAATGTCCCAAGTCATCGTGACTGAGTTTGAGTGTACTGGCCATGACTAAATTGTTGATCACGCCAGATTATGCGCTCTTTCCCAGAAACTTTAACTAAGCTCTTATCAGTATAGCTGCAGTATAAACCACAGGTAGGCTCTGTGGGTATTGAACAGATACAAATGTGCCAAACCAGGCGTCTGCAACAGGGATTAGCTATCCGCCTTCGTAGACACTCGGAAACGATCGGATAGCCACAACCACCAGTAATAATTAATAATATCGGATTTAATAAAATTAAATATATAGAAATATATTAATTCCTTAGAAATTATAATTTCATCAATGTTGCTACACTGTCGATATTTCCTAAACTAATCTATTTATCACTGTAAGCTTCACGGAGCCATAATTTCGTACGTTTAACCTAATATTTATCACTGTAACCTTTACGGAGTTTAGTTCAACGAGGCAGCCATAGTTTCGTACTTTTAAAGTATGAGTTTTAGTATCGGTCAAGATCAGTTGGTGCTATTTTTGAGCAGCAATTATTGGAAAGGTGAAGTAGATATTTTATTATTCACCAAACGACCCAGATTCTTCAGTTTAATTAATCACAAGATTTAGGTCGATATACTATCCGGCCTTTCGAAGTATCATTTCAGTCTAATCATCTTTTTTTTTTTAAGCGTCCACTCCATTATTACTTAAGGATATGCGGGTATTGTAGAGCATAAACGCGCAGAAAATTGAAACGGAGAGTCGAGTTCAAATTCCCGCTTTGTTAGCTGCGTTCATTTCCTTAGGCCAATTATGAATTTGCCTTTTCTTTTCACCCCATTAACTGTGTGTTAAATAGCAAGGTAGACGGTCTTCTCTAGCATTGAAAGTCATAGATACTGTAAAGGGAAGCCAAGTTATTACATTTCCCTAGGATATATGATAATTCACAGATGATAAAGAAATTTATAGAGTGTCAAGGTCGTCTACATCCAGACAGGATAAAATATTTTTTTAAACGTATCATTAAACTGATGCTAAGAATACCATGAACCGAACATGTGAGAAACGAGAAAGTTTTAGAAAAATGAAAACAAAAAGGACACTGACATCAGAGAGAGAGAAACCTTTAAGTGTACATAATAAGGACAATTTGTTACTCATAGTAAGATAGATAGAAAGAGGGGCAGAATAAAACAATACCTAACGTACCTATTGAGCTTGAGTAAATAGATGGCGGAACAAGGTTTAGGTTTATTAAGAGCTACAAAGGAGAGGAAATTGTGGAGAGCTATGATTGCCAATGTACTGAAGAGATACGACACAATCTTTATCACCTTCGTTTGGTGATAAACATTATGGCATAAAGCATTATTGTTGCTTGATCAAAAAAAGGCTGAAGTGAAAAAGTTAGTATTATCGAATATGCTTGAAAAAGGCAGGAGATCCCACCAACTAAAAAAAATATTGATCAAAATAACTGAAGGATACTAGTTTTCTTTTTAATTCACCTAATAATATTGTTTCTTCTCAACGGTTCAGAAAAGTGTAAGAAGGCTGCAGAACATATCAGCCAAAAAGATATATATATATATATATATATATATATATATATATATATATATATATATGTTCGAATAATTAATTGAACTACATGTAACATCTTTTTATATTAGAAAGTTTTTGCAACACGCTGACGCGGGTTGATATCCTCACATTATTTAGTATTGTTGAGGTTATCGCTAACATTCTTTGATCGAGATTTACAAACTGTACGTTTCGTTCAATTTCGCAAACCAGTCGATGAAATTTGAATAAGCTGATTTGTTAGGAAAAATAGTTTGACAAAAACTCTACTTCGTGGTTTTTACGCCACGTAGTAAACGAACACAAATATATATCCCTTACCTGTTTGCACTTCTCAAAATTTGCTTTCGATCGGTCAATGTATGGCTATTATGGAGTGTGTGCTGGACAGACGTACGGACTAAAGGAATTCACTGAATTATATATATAGAGAGAGGCAGAGAGAGAGAGAGAGAGAGAAAGATTTGCATGTATTTCTTACTGTTAAATACGGTCGCTATAAGAACTTAGCAAGCTTAGAAACGATGAATTTGTTTAACATATTTCGAAGAAGAAAAAAATGGTATATGGTGATTTTTTAAGCATTTCCCCTTAAGTAAGATAATAAAGCCACTAAGGCATAAGTGGGTTACTGTGAGGGAAAAGAATCTATAAAAAATCATTACTAGGGAGAAAGTGTAATAAAAGAACAGCTTACAAGACGACAGAAGATGACTGACATAGCACTTAAACTTTTGAAGATCAAAATTGACTAATAATTAATAAGCTGGAAGCAAGTTCAAGTTGCGAGAAGAAAATGCTTTCATTAAATCTCGGTGAACTTAATGTGGCCTAAGTGCCAATATAGTAGAGGACAATATTTGGTATCTGAACGTGGTGTAATGATTAGGAAACTTGTCTCCTAAGCAAAATTACGACTGTGTAGTGAGTTCGATCCTCACTGGGTGCCCCCATACTTTCGGCCTTGTGCCACATCTATGCTACGCTTAGAAAATCATTAGTATTTAAATCCCTCTCTCGAGGAGTTTGTAACACATTATTTATCATCTCTCAATTGCGTCTCTGTCTTTGGGTAGAGTGCGCTCAGGGGCGCAACTAAGGAAAATTATACTGAGAGGTGACCAGCCCTGGAGAACAGCTACCCGAGGCCGCGCCCTCTCATTGCACCAGAGAAGAGATCGGCGCTCGCACCAAGGCCAGCGCAAGCGGGGGCTGCGAGCAATTTTTGTTCCTTGCCAGGGTATACGCACTGGGGTGCCCACCTTAAATAAGACCTTGTGTTACAAGTCTTCTGGGGAAACAGAGTAAATACCTTGTACATGACAAAATTAGCGAATGGTGAAAGAATAAAATGCAAAGGCCAACAACAGACGTGGCTTTATGATTTATTTATATATTTTTTTATTTTCAATTTCTTGGTGCTGAAACTAGTATTCCCGAATGAAAGGTGAATGTGAAAATGTTCATTGATTTAGAGATTGTCTTCAGATGATATCGAATCAAGAAAGAAATGACGACTCTTATCAGTAAATTTGATGAGATTCGCAGAACAATAGAAAGTTATTGAAGAATAAATTCAATTTTCTTTTCATTTGTCTGTTTGCTTCGGGGCCAGTGGACAGCCGATCTTTCTTTCTTTTCGAAATTCTTCAGTATGTTGC